TTAATTCCTATTCCTAACACTCGTATAAATTAATCAGCTATAAAAAAAATTTAACAAATAAAAATTCTTGGCTTACAAAACAAACAGATCTTTTTTTCCCAAGGTTTGCACTCGAAATCTCACTTTAGAGAGCTTTTGCACTTCAGCTTTTACTTTAGAGAGTTTTAAAGGGGCTTAAATTTTTTGAAGTCACATTTATTAATGTAAAACTGGAGCAAAATAAGGATGGCAATGTTAAATCGATTTTAGAGTAAAGTTCAGGTCAAAACTTTGCAGCCACATTTAATCATGTGAATCTGGGGCAAAATAAGAATGACAATGCAAAATCGATTTAACACTATACTTCACGTCAAAATTTCGCAAGGTTTGCACTCGAAATCCCACTTTAGAGAGCGTGAAAATGGGCTTCAAGTACCTTGAAGTCGCATTTAATATACTGAAAGAGTGGCAAATGAAGGAGGACAATTACAAAACACTTCTTGATGATATTTTGCGTTAAAAGAATGTAAGTGTTGCACTTCAGCTTTCACTTTAGAGAGTTTTAAAAGGGGCTTACATTTTTTAAAGCTACATTTATTAATGTAAAACTGGGGCAAAATAAGGATGGCAATGTTAAATCGATTTGGCAATAAAGTTCAGGTCAAAACTTTGCAAGGTGTGCACTCGAACTCTCACTTTAGAGAGCGTGAAAATGAGCTTCAAGCTTCTTGACGTCGCATTTAATATGCTGAAAATGTGGCAAATGAAGGACGATAATTACAAAACATTTCTTGATGAAAGTTCGCGATGAAAGTAAGTTTTGCACTACAACTTTCAATTTATGGAGTTTTAAAAGGGGCTTAAGCTTTTTGAAGCCACATTTAATAATGTGGAACTTAGGCAAAATAAGGAAGACAATACAAAATCGATTTCACACTAAACTTCGCGTCATAATTTCGCACGTTTTGCACTTGAACTCTCACTTTAGAGAGCTTGAAAACGGGCTTCAAGTACCTTGAAATCGCATTTAATATACTGAAAGAGTGGCAAATGAAAGACGACAATTACACAACATTTCTTGATGAAAGTTCGCGTTAAAAGAATATAAGTGTTGCACTTCAGCTTTCACTTTAGAGAGTTTTAAAAGGGGCTTAAATTTTTTTAAGCCACATTTATTAATATGGAAATGAGGCAAAATAAGGATGACAATACAAAATCGATTTCACACTAAACTTCGCGTCATAATTTCGCACGTTTTGCACTTGAACTCTCACGTTAGAGAGCTTGAAAACGGGCTTCAAGTACCTTGAAATCGCATTTAATATACTGAAAAAGTGGCAAATGAAAGACGACAATTACACAACATTTCTTGATGAAAGTTCGCGTTAAAAGAATATAAGTGTTGCACTTCAGCTTTCACTTTAGCGAGTTTTACAAGGGGCTTACATTTTTTGAAGCCACATTTAACAGAGAGCTCTTTAGATTTCACTTTAGAGAGCTTGAAAATGGGCTTCAAACGTCTTGAAGTCTCGTTTAATGTGGCGAAAGAGATACTAAGTCGGTTAAACTAGGAAAAGTTGCGCATCAAGAAAACAGTTCGCGTAGTTAAGAGTTAACAGTATTTCTTTCAATTTTTGAGATATTTAGAACAAAGCTAGTTTTCGGATTTTCGTTTTTATTTGAAATCATATAAAAAAAACAAAAATTACTTTCGCATGGCAGCTATTCAACCTCTACAAGATGGTGCCTTTGAAAATGTATTCCCACGTTTCGCTTCTGAGAAACCATCAACTTGTATTTTTCATATAAACCGAGAAAAAATTAAACGTATTAGTGTTTAATAGCGAATTCAACGATATAACTATCAACTAAATGTGTTTGATTTTTTATCTAAAAACTGCCAAGAGTTAAAATGCTTGTGCAGTTCACACTGAGGAATTATTTACAGCGCCATAAATTTCCTGAAACTTCAAATATCAATTTAATTCCACAATTCATAAAACTTGCTTGTTTAAAAGATTTCTTCAGGGCTCAAGAAATAAAACTCTTTCTGTATATATAAGCGTTTAGTTAGTAATCGGAGACTAGACATCGAAACCCTAGAGGAGTCCTAACATTGCATAGACTGTACGATTTCACTAATTCTGTTTACTAGTTTTATATACATTTTATACAGAACACAATGTACAAGTATAACTAAAAAAATACAGTCTCAAAGTCATAGGTCAATAGTCTTAGCGCTAGGATTATCAACGAGAGCACAAGTTTTCGAGCAGAAGCTCTTGAAATATCACAATACATTTTAACGATGAATCATTTTTATTCCTAATTATAGATCATAATTTAACGTACATTTCACAGCGGTATTGCGATATTCCATCAAGCTGGTAATCACTAATTTATCAAAAAGCCAATGACTTATAAAAAAATAACGCTAAACTGTAAAACATTAAAAAACATTGAATCTTTCCATCAGTAAGGCAACTATGTCTAAATTGAAGTTTAATCATAATGTGTTCAGTTCGGCTTTGTACGTTTCCCATCTTTCGATTCCTTTGCCATGCAACTCGATAAACTCGTCCAGACCGGATGGCACCAAACCTCGGTACGGGATATTGTTCACTTTTACTGCATTTGCTGCCATGCATTTCAGACTGATTTTGATTTGAGTCTTTAGGATGATTTCAGCTACACCTAAAGAAAATAATAATAAACTAGGCATCCAAAAAGGATGTTCAAAAACAAGCAAGCAAAAGCATTTCTAGACCAGAGAAGCTTCTCTCGATACATTTATTATTGAGCTTTAACGGATGTTATGCATAAGGAATACAGTTCTACATTGATGGCATTTTGTTGCCTCTCTAAGCCTGGGGAGTGAGATTTTCTTCTTTCTGTTTCTGCCCCTTTTCGGTATACATCTAAGGCCGCACCAGATCAGTTCACGAGGACGTTCGTCAGGAATTTTTGAGAAAAGTCGTTGAAAAGATGGACAACGTCGCACTTTCAACCCGTACATTATTAGAAGAGGAGAAAAACAAAGAGCAATTTCCTAAAAAACCTCTTCAGAACAAAAACAAATGAGGCGCTTGCCATATTCCAAAGTCGTCCAGAAGAAGACTATTTCAATCTTCCAATAAATTACTGTTTAAAACTAGATGAGAATAAGTTCGGTTAAACTTCCACCAGTTCGATTTTCTTCCATCACTTCCAAAGGAGATAAGAAGACCAGGAACAAATTTCGTAAACTTTCCGATTAAGTGCAGACGAAAAGTTCGCTTTAACATCGGAAAATAAACCGGATTTTTTTCGAATATGACAAGATCTGGATGCTTTCAAATCGCTGAAGGATTTCGCATCAGAAACGAACTTCTTAATTTCTTCATGGAAGAGCGAACTGCTGTGAAGGCAAAACATCGAGATTTCAAGAGCTAACAGCTTCAGCTAAATTTTCACGACGAAAGGTTGTCTTGAGTCAAAAATTTCAAGTTTTTACGGTGGAAACGATCTTGAGGTACATAAAATACTACTAAAAGTTTCAGCGGATACTTCAACTGTTTTAACCTTAACTGTAGACAACACGCTTCAACTTATGCATAAATCAGTTGTTCGTGCATATACAGAAGCGATGGTGATGATTAAAAAAAACGGAAAAGAAACAATTTGTTCGCGACATTTTAAACGATATTTCGTGTATCTCAAGAGTGTTTCTAGAGTAAACTTGACATTTTGGACTCATGAAATAAACAATTCATGAAAACCTTTTATCGTGGATTCTTAAAAATCTTAACATCTGTAGAGACAAATGTTTCAAGTTTTTGGGTTTAGAAGTTACAATTTTTTTAGGGAAATAACGCAGTTGGGTGAGTCAGGATCAGTTTCAATTATATGGGAAAAAGTTCAGATTTCGGTAAATTTTAATCAACATTTCGACGAACATAGAGACATTTTGTCAACGAACTTCAACAAAAATTTTAAGTTGCTACTTGCTTTCCTTTGGAGGTTTTGGAGAATTTTTTAAAGACAGAACAAAGGAAGTTTATAGCATGCGTCTAGTGCGACTGTAAAAATTTCAAGACAATAGTTACAATTTCTTACTCAAAGAGCGACTGAGGTTTGTGGCTAGCAATATGAAAAGAAAAACAATAAAAAACAAAAAAATATAAAAATAGGATAAAATGTCAGATTTTGGAGAATATTAATAAAAATGGTCCGACGCCTAGAGATGCCAGATGTTGGCAACAGACTGTAAATTTCAAGTCACCATTTGCTCTAGTTCAGAAATTAAGAGATTTTAAGCGACGGAACGAAGGAGGCTGAAAATATAAATTTTAGACGATCTTCCAGGAAATTTCCGAATTTTTTTGCCCAATTTGTAAGAAAATGGTCTAATGTGCGGATACTGAAAAGTTGCCTTTTTGGAAGTTTCTAACCAAAAGCCTCATTGATGTTCAAATACAATCTAATCGAAAAATTTGTACTTGAAAAATAAAACCTAAAACGGCAAAAAATTATTTTTGGATGAGAAACATGCGTTTTACTCCCTTAGTGTAGTTGCTATCCAATTTAAGGCTGAAATAGTTTCTACAGCTACTTCTTTGGGCTTATTGGGGCTTATTTAAGCTACCGGCAAAGAGTGGCGGTTTGCACAAATGGAACAATCGAACGGTTGCCAACATTCAGGGTTTATTATCTACCAAACCGTCGCCAATGTCGATTTTTTTTCAAGACTGCTGAGCTTTAGCCAATACCCGTGAAAACCCAGGGCATTTTTTCGTTTTGAAATATTGCCAACAGTTGCGGAGTTATAGGCAAATAAGTGTGCACACAATGTGGGTGGCAGTTTAAGTCTCTAACTTCAAACTCCATTTTCTCTGAAACTGTATGCGAAAACCATGTTAATGGCATTCTGGTCTAAATTTGACTCTTAAATGAAAAAATTTAAAAATTTCCAAAATAAAATTGTTTTTAATTTTAATTGCAATTTTTTTAAAAACCATTGAGTCACTTTTAAAAATGCCTTTTGGGATTAAAAAAAATCTTGGTGCGCCGCCAAACTTGTAGCAAAAGAGCGTGTTTCCAAGAACAACCTGCGTTACAGACCTTTGAAAACTTAAACTCCCCTGGCGCTGAAACGACTTTGGCTTGAAAAATGAACTTTGACCCCCTAAAACTACTTTTTCCTTCAAGTTTATGGGCTTTTAAAGAGATTTTTACAAAAAAGTAAGGAAGTGTGTGCAAGGAGTCTTAGGTTTGTCGATATTCAGAGCCCATTTCCTTCCAAACTGTTATCAGTACAAATTTTCTTACAGACAGTGAATATATGGCACAGTGCATGCCGAGAATACACTTTGAAAACAATCTGATGTTGTATTTTGAAAATAAGTTAATGGAGGCAAATCGCAAAAGCAAAAGTTCAAGAAATCGCTTTTCCACCTTCAAATCATCATAGTTTCCGAGGTTGTCAACCGATTGCAATTTTCCGAGGGCAGTTTTTATTGAAATTCGTACGTTTTCCACAATTTTCAAATCAGCCCGATATTAACAGCGTTATGCAGATAATTTATACATACAAAAAGCTGTTTTCCCAAAAAATTGCGACCTAAAATCCACAAAAACATTGATAACATTTGACTTGAAAAATCGTCATTTCGCCTTCAAACTCAAGTTTCTCCACCGATTTCGATTTTGCAAAATACGATTTTTCAACAAAATCGCTCGCTTTAGAACGAATTTTCAATGATCCAAATCGCGCCTGTATTAAGAGCCAGTTATTCCTACTGAAAGATTTGATGCACCATATTAGTTTCTCAGAAGAAGCCTCGCCTTTCCTCATTTCACCGTCCTTTTTCCTACTTGGGTGTAGATTTTTCATACACACTCAAGTCTATCTTTCCAGAATCAAATTGTTGTTATTACAAAACCCAAAACGTCTGTGACCAGGAAATCGATTTCGACAAGAGCGCAGGAATTGCGTAATTTTTTTTAAAGCAAGAATCTATAGTGAACTTACTACCTGTGGTGGATGATTCCAGTGGCGTTTCCCCCTTATTATTTACAATGTCCGTGTGGGCGCCGTTTTCCGTCAGATCTGTAATAATCGAGTGAAGCGTCAGGAAGTCGGAAATTGCCTTATGGTAATTGACTATGACGTGCAATGGAGTATTTCGCTCGTTATCCATTGCGTTGACGTTGGCGCCGCATCTAATCAGCAATCGTGTTGTTTCGGCACACGGAAATCTGCAAAGAAAACGGATTGTTTGAAAATTCGGCAAACGTGATAAGCTCCCTTTGAACACCTACTTGCAAATATCATTCGTATGGAAATCATCGACGGGCGTTTCGGCATTACAGGCTAGATGCAGAAGTGTCTGTCCATTCCTCAATGTTAACTGCAGCTGATTGAGGGCGAAAACCATTCGGCGTACGTTAAATTTTTCCTCCTCGTTGCACTTTTTCATCAGCTTGGTGAGAATGGTAAGAATATAGAGAGTGGTGGTGAGATTGCTTTCGATTTCATCCTGTAACACATGCAATGCGTTGATTATTCAAGTGCTCTTAGAAGTTCCAGGCAATCAAAGAAACACCAAAGCAACACTTTAGTAAAATAAAGCAAAGCCTAGACAAAGAGACAGGATGAGTCCTAAATCAATTTCTTAGGCAAGCTGAGTTAATCTTAAGCCACTAGGACAAACAGGCGCGCAATTTGGTTAATCCACATCTTTGTTAGTCTCTTTGGCTCACAACGTTACTCACTTTCACCAAGTACTAACCAATATTTTGTACATAAAACAGCAAATTACCATAACGGTTTCGGGCTCGTCTTTCGGCCCGGGTTTGGCCAACTTTTCCTTGTTGCGTTCGAGCTCTATAATGGCGGCCGCCAGCACTTCAATCACCTGCACGTAAGTTACCTGCACGCCTACATGGAGCATTTGCGAAAAAACCTGTGCAAATCTTAGTAAATCCTTCACGACAGGTATGTGGTTCTTTTGGCGCAGCTTCAAAGCGTGTAGCCACAGCTCTAAACATCTGAAATTTCATTCATTTTATGTTCCTAAACGATGCACGAGTTTTATTGAATAATCGACATCGATAATGATAAAATGTAACTGTATGTTCTAAGCGGTGTGAGCGTAGGAAGTTGGTTGAAGAACGAAGTTCACGAAACTGGATCATCAGATGACATCAGCAATGAAATGAAGTATGGAGAAATAAACTTGGAAAATGCCTCTAATCCTGACACAATGAGATAATTCTATGGACAAGGGACAGCAAGGATTCAGACGCAACAGACCAACAGTTTATGAAAAATTCATTCTAAGAGAGATAATTGAAAAATCATTAGAATTTGATATTATTGGACTCTAGACAATTCTAAAGAAACACAAAATAGATCGACTGCAGAAAATTCCGCAATAGTTACCTATCAAATCTGGCATTATCTGCAAACACGGCACCCCGATAGATGATGGGATGGGGCAGTTCGTGGTTGTGAACACCCAAAATGCGCTCCCGTATAACCAAGGCCTCCATATGCAGGCTGTTGGTGTTTCCCGCAATGGCCTCCAGTTCGGGTAAAGTTTGGGTTTCCACCCAGTTTTCGTAGGCCGGAATCGGGGGAACGGCTGGCTTCATTATCGGTCTATCCGGATCACTAAACCTAAAACCCCCGGTTTAATAGTTAAGGCATACAATCAAAGCAAAAGGCCGGCTCACCTAAGAGCCATCGCCTGATGCAGGTATTTGTAGGCTTTGCTGATGTTGTAGTTCTCCTTGTCGTTGGCAAGGGAAGCCCCCAGCAGCTCCAACGCCTCAACTTGCTCCTCTTTGCTGATTTCAGGCCGCTCTACTAAATAGGCGACCACTTTCTGCTGCGTTCGCTCCGCCGCTGATTTTATAGGAGTCATGCCTGTGTCGTTTGCGTAGAAAATGGCATTGTAGCTTAGTAGTTCTTTGACTACTTCCAGGTATCCACATTCAGCCGAGAAATGCAACGCTGTCGCACCACATAGAGCGCGCTCATTTGGATTGGCTCCGTTTCGTAACAGGAAACTCACCTGGAAACAAGGCATTGTTATATTCGGTATTCGTCACTTGTACTGAAAACACCCGGACTAACCACATCTACATGGCCTTTATAGGCAGCGATCATCAAGCAAGTGTTGTTGTACTTGTTTGCCAAATGGATGTCGGCCTTATGACATGTTAGGTACTTGACTATATCCAAACGGCCATCGAAGCAGGCAGCTCGTAACGGCGTGGAATTTGTTTTCGTTGAATGGTTCACATCAGCTCCGGATGTCACTAAAATTTTCACTACGTTAAGGTGCCCTGAAACCAAAGGGGAACTTGCACTGTCTATTACTTCGTTCATTGGTTGAAGGGGCTACTTTGCAAATAAAACCTTTGATCATGATTGCGCTCGGGTAGTAGAACAGGGTTTTCTTCTAAAAAAGCTAAGTGATTTTAAGTTCTTGTGTGTCTCTGGAGACTGGTGTTAGTGGGATAGTTACCAGCACAGGCTGCGCACCAAAGAGCAGTAGCCCCCTCAATAACGTATCCATCGAATTTAACGACTCCCTCCTGCTCAATGTCGGGATTGAACTTGTTGAGGAGGATCCGAATGACTTTTTCATGTCCACACCGTGCGGCAGCCACCAGGGGGCTGCATTCCTGGCCCTCATCGTCCGACAGGTTCTAGAATAGACGAAGAAGCATAGAGAAGTGATTGGTGTGGGTGGGATGCAGGCAACAAAAGCTCCCAGTGGAACTGCGACGAAATGCGCCATTTCCCTCAACACAAAGGCATGCCATCGAACGGGACGGTTTTAGAACAAAGGCACAATGTCCGGTGAATGAGTAAATCTAGCAATTACCTCGTTGAGGAGCTGATTTGCTTCATTTATGTCCAGTTCGGATAACATGGTGTATAAGGAGATCGACATGCCTGTACAGGCAGCATAGTAGAGTTTGTATTTGAGACGTTCACGTTCTTCGCTCATTCTTTTGACCACAATCAACGCGTACTTATCATAACAACGTGCTATTTTCGACTGTTTGTGGAAATTGGAAAATGAAAATAGAATTTGGATTCTGGAAAGCTTTGTGACATCGATCAGCTGATATCATGCCTGTTGTGCCTCTAGTCGGACGCTAACGGATGTTTAGCAGGTTATCGAGCCGCAATGGAACTTCGGTTTTTCTCACTCTCCCTCTTCCTTTCCTCGCTCTCTCTGACTTCGTTGTCATTTTTTGAAAATAATTGTATACTGGGCGTTCCTGCAACAATACACACTTAATTTTTATATAAAAAATTCACAAAAAATGCCACAGAAATGTTGCCGAAAAGTCTAAGTTCTAGCGAGATTAATTGCCAAGTAGCAACTAAATTAAATCGACCTCCAGGTCTAACACTCTGTACATTTAGTTTAGTTTGCTTGCTGTTATGCTTTAATATCATTGCAGTGTAATTTTACTATTAGTAGGTTCCGAAGATAAAAATAATTTAAACATCCTACCATGGCGAACCTCTGGGTGGGTTTCTCCCGATAACTACGTGAAATACGCACTATTCATGTTGATTTATATTGCGTGTTGAAGCTGAAAAGTTTTAAAACAAGCACTTTGTACCATCCAGCGAAACAGTTCAACGAAAAACACAAAATTACATCAAATTCCGTCGACAACCTATGCAAAACTAGCCCTAATTTGCCCGTCAAACACAAATTGACAGTTTTGTTTATTAAACCCAAACTTGTGCGGGTTTTGCTTACCTTTCAACGTTGCACGCACCACCAACTAATCATGCAAATATATAATAAAACTAACGATAAAAAGGCCAAACACCACAATTAAGCCACCAGCATAGTTTGAATTTTTTCAGATAACCTCAAAATGTCAAAGCCACAGGCTTATGAATGAACTTTCCTAATGAATGGCAGGCATTGGACCAATAGGGACAGGGGTGTCCCTAGGAATGCGGTACTACGTCGGAATTCCATAAATACGCGAGTAGACATTCTTGGCATTCCTATCTGCATATTGAAAAATGAATGTTGTTTGAATGTCATTTCAAAGTCGTCAGTTAGTTCAGTCTATCTATTATTGTACTTAAAATATATTATTGCGTTTTCGACTACACTCCAGTTTAAATTAAAATTTAAAAAATTATTGCCAGAAAATTCAGTTTGAAAGAGAATCGCATGCAAAATATCGCCGTTTGCAGGGGAATTTTCAAAGTTATTTAACTGTAAAAGTGGGGCCTGTGAAGGGTGCCTTCAACTGACACTTTAACGAACAAAGTCGGTTCTTTTTTTGACCCCCCAATGAACAAGTTTTGGGGATTTTTCAAAATTTTCGCTGCAACTTTCCCCATGTTTTGCATGCGAGTTTTCAAAGTTCACTGGTGCTTAAAATGGGAATTTAGGTGGGTTCCTTCAAGTAGCATTTTAAAGAGCAAGGTCCAATTTTTGTTTTCCCTTAGGTTGGGTTTTGTACTTTTAAAAGGTGAATTTAAGCGATAAATTGCGCAATATTTTGCATGCAATTTCAAAGCTCAATGGTGCCGAAAGGGGGGCTAGCCTAGGGTTTCTCCT